ATTGATGATTTGATGATTTATGATGATTTATTGATGATAATCTGAATATATATACAATTACTATGGAAACTTAACCCATTAACAAACCAATAATGTCCAAGTACACTCCCAGAATGACATAATGCACATAAACAAAAAAAATAAATAAAATTTCAAACAAAAGAAAAGTAGCTCACCGGCTACATCTCCATTGATTGTAGTATCTTAATTCTGCACAAAAGTTTTTTTTTTTTTTTTTTTTTTTACTTTAGTCCAAGAAATGGCAAGTTTGCAGTGCTCACTTTTCAGTGCTGCTTTCTGCTGCTATACAGCATGTATATGGCCAAAAAAAACAAAGTTTTATACAAAGTCTGAATGGATTATTTATAGCCCAAAAAGCATGCAAAGAGCACTTTCTTTGTAATCATTAAAAAGCTGTTCCTCGTCTTAGTTCATCGCGATCTCAATACGTTTTGTTAAAAAGAGAGGACTTGTGAACTTGTAAAACTCAGCCTTGGACAAAAACTCTGCTGTTTTGAGCAATGAGTGGTTTTTAACTTAAACACCTCTGATTGGCAATTGCGTTCAAGAAATCAACAGATATATCTATGATTGGCTACACTGCTCAACACCGCAAAAAATACTATGCAAAAAGAAACTTTTTGACGTTCTCCAAAGCGCAAAAACAAATATGCACTGGATAGTTTGCCTGATCTATTTCGCCAATAAGAAAAGAATAGCACGAGTTTTTCAGGTAATGCTGCCAATTGTTGATTCGCTACAGAACTGGGGGATGGTGTCTTGTAGTTTGTAATGTCTTTCAGGCCTTTCCACACTGAAGCAGGGTCGTTTCCTGAAAACTGGTTTTCCAGCTTTTTAGAGTTTGAAAACTCTAATTTCATATCAACTCTAAGAAAGGATATTTTTGTGGCCACAGAAAATAACTTTCTTACAGTACCAATGCATTAGAGCATATAGCTATAAGTCGGATTGTAAAAGGGACATTATTCTGTAACGGGGACTCTTTGCAAGTGCAAGCTTTATTAACACAAAGGTGTAGTCAGACAGGCAAGGTCAAGATCCAGCAAACAAGGTAATCCAAGGCAGTGGCAAAAGAGTAATCCAAAGGAACAGGCAAGGGTCATAATCCAAGTGAGCAGTCCAAAGTAACAAATTAACAAAACAATGAAACAAGGCAATGACAATGGCAATGGCAAATGAATACGCTTGGTAGAGTCTGCAACAGCAAAACAGTACTTCGCCATGTGAATGAGTGCAACTTAAATAATTCTTCTAATTGGAAACAGCTGTAGGTGTAATCAGTTCCTGGCATGGGGTGTTATGGGAGATGTAGTCCGTGAAACAATGGTACAGTTTAAGGATGGAGTGCCCTCTAGAGGATCTCGTGGGCACTCCAGCTGGAGATCCTGACATAAGCCAAGGCGGTGCAGAAGACCACCAGAGCTGGGCAGAAGACCACCACGGCGGAGCAGATGTCCACCAGGGCAGATCAGACAGGACTGAAGATCCCCATGGTGGAGCAGACGACCACCACAGCAGAGCAGATGGGACCAAAGACCCCCACGGTGGAGCAGATTGGACGGAGGACCACTTCAGTGGAGTTGATGGTGCAGGGAACCACCACGGCGGATCAGGCTGGACTGGAAATAAGAGCACAGAGAGGTTAACAGCGGCCTCAATGGCCTTCACAGGACATTCACAGTCGATCTCCATGGTTGTGACAGGACAGGCAGAGAGTTAGTAAATGGCCTCCTCAGCCATAACGGGGCAAACAGAGTTCATGAACAGCCTCCTTAGCCATAACGGGGCAGACATATAATATCTATAGCGAGCTCAGCGTGTGGGCGTGGTCGCATTAGATATAATGAAGGGAGACGTGAAAGACTGGACATCGCGTTGGTTTCATATGATTACTTTATCACAGAATATTTGCTTTCGATAAGACTTGCTTAGTTTAAAAGTAGACATGTCAAGCTTTCTATAGATATATCTCTCATGTCTCTTTGTTGAGTATTTGCTGAGTTACAGTTCATTTTAATGACGCGTTTCTAAATAAAGATCACGCAGACCAAGGCGGCAGACAGCGCACCATGTTTGTTTTCTTTATTTTATAAATGCACAAAGTTTTGTTGTTATTATGTGTGTATACAAATAAAAGTAGACCATTTACAGATTCGATTGATGTATTGCTCTAATCTGTAAGATCAAAACTGAAAGTGTAATTTAAGTTATTTTCGGTGTTATCAGGAGAAGATGCCACAAAACGCGTATCCGCGTTAGTCGACCCCAGAGGGTTAACAAATAACATCTATGGCAGCTCTCTTCTCGCACAGTTGCTACGCGACAGGAGCGGCAATCGGAAACACCTGCTGGCGCCAGGGCCGTTTCTAGGCATAGGCGAGTTAGGCGGTCGCCTAGGGCGCCACCAGCTGAAGGGGCGCCAATGAGCGCACGTACTGGCACTTTTAGCAGGGTTGTGATAAAGAGTGGCACGGTCACCCTGAAATATGACTGCCGCGCCCACTGGATCCCCCAACATTATTGGGCTAGAGTACTGTCAATCTGACGATGCCTGTATGCCACTAGATCAGAGTGCTGCATTTTTGTTTGCATTTGGAGCGCTCAACAACGCCATTAGATCAGTGGGCTCTGTCAGTGCTTTGGCAAGGTAACACTTTTTTTTGCCATGCAATAAAGCTAAGTTCAAAGGCCAATTTAAAATATTGGTACAGCAAATAAAGTGCACAAAATCTGTATTTTGTTTAGGCAGTATTTGTGGCACATTTGTCCAAATATTTGTGGCAGATTTGTCCAAAAGGTGCGCGTTTTTTGCGCCAATGCATTGTTAAAGGATCAGCGTGTCATGTAATATATTCCCATATAAATTTCTGTTTGCAATAGCCCTACTGTGCTGTAAATAGGTGTGGTAAATGGGCAACTCTGGTAATGCTGCCCTCTCATTCATTGATCTGCTAACCGTTATGCTCATGTGTCCTCTGATAATAATAGCTTTCTAGGATTAAACATTATTTGGATAATTTGGATATTAATCTCTTAATAGCCCTACTGTGTGTCAGACCTACCTGAAAAACTAAAAAGCTATTTATTTCATTTGTAGGCCTGTCGTTATTTTTTATTTGTGCTATCATTAGTAATCTCTTTATTTGTTCTTATTTTATTATTAACTGCTTAGCCTCCTTTTGGCTAGAAACGGCCCTGGCTGGCGCAATCAGGAAATCCTGAGAAGGCTAGACTTGGAGCGTCCTTCGAAGACCGCATCCTTCGAAGGACCTGTCCTCCAAAAGGATGCGGTCTTAGAATTGGGACGCAGCTCTAGTGTTCCTTTCTAAGATTCACTTCACCTCTGACCTCTCCACAGGTGGAGCAACAGCTTAGCAATGGAGGCCTTGGAGCATATCAACGTTCTGGAATTGAAGGCAGTCTACCTAGTGCTAGAACATTTCTTACTTTCCATGTGCTTGTATGGTCCGACAGCACATTAACGGTTTATTTGAAATGATCAGGACAGCACTGGGGGCTTGTACCATGATGGTGGCTGAACAAACTCAGGGTTACAGGATTAGTTTCGAATTGACAAAACCAAACCAATCCAATCCAACTTTGCTAGTACCATGACACCGATCATCAACTTTGTCAAATCAGGCTTTGATCCTGAGTTTGTGATTCGGTGTCTAGCGTTTAAACCCGCCCTTCTTGTTACCTGATTATTGGTTTATTTGCATCACCTGTCTTCCCTCGTTACCTGCTTTGTTGGCTCTCCTATTTATTCTCCCTGTGTGCCCTGTCCTGTGCTGATCCATTGTTGAAATTCATGTATAATACATAAGAACACTCAGCAAAAAAAAATAACGAAAAAATAAAGATAATTAATCTTTTTATTACTTTTGGAAAATATCACAAATATTCACAAACAGAAACAGGCAAATAGTAAACCAAACATCCACCAATATAAAACAGAATTGATTCATTATATATTTAATATTCTCAAACAACTGGCATTTGTAATAAAAAATGAAATGAATACATAGACTATTTATACAGAAAATAGTTCCGGTCCTCAAATTTGATTGGTTAAGTACATTTCCTATAGTCGTTTCACTCTTTGTATCAATCTATTTCTCTTCTGGTTTTCCGCTAAAAGCCAAGCCATTTTCATGGTGTCTAAATCCCAGAGTTTGAGCAAACTAAACTGAAACTTACCTGGCTAGCCAGCTAAACCGGCTTCAAGGTATAGGCCCCAGGCGTTCTTGTGTTGTCATGTTCGATGTAACACAAGTGATTATGATTGGCCACATGCTTTCTTGTCTTGTTCTGTGTTGTACACGGCATGTTCCTCATTAGCCGTATGCGTTCATGTTTTGTTTAGTCTGGACACGCAGTCAATATGTTCTTATTGGCTGTGTGTTTTTGTGCCATGTTTTGTGTGAGAATATGGCCCTGTTTTGTTTGTTTCTATGTGCCTTGTGATTCGGTGTCTAGCGTTTAAACCCGCCCTTCTTGTTACCTGATTATTGGTTTATTTGCATCACCTGTCTTCCCTCGTTACCTGCTTTGTTGGCTTGCTCAGGAGCAAATTACCCTCCTCCATCCCCAACTCCTGCTTTCGCCACAGTCAGGACTTGGCTTTCTGATATTTCTCGTTGAATCAGACTTCCTTTGATTTTGAATAATGTGTTACACTTAAATATCATGAAGAACATTAATGATGCTCTCCCTGCTCATTCATGACAGGCTGCATGGATGGGCAGAGAGTTTTTGCCCAGAACAGGACCATTCCACCAAATCCACACAGGGCAGACTGGGGTAGTTGTGGCCTAATGGTTAGAGAGTCGAACTTGTAACCCAAAGGTTTGAGTCTCAGGTCCAGCAGAAATTGTCAGTGTGGGGAGTGAATAATCAGCGCTCTCTTCCACCCTCAATACCACGACTGAGGTGAGACCCTTGAGCAAGGCACCAAACCCCCAACTGTGTGTGTGCTTGTTCGTTCATTCACTATTGTGTGTGTGCACTTGGATTGGTTAAATGCAGAGCACAAATTCAGAATAAGGAATACCATATTTGGCCTCACTTTACTTCACCCAAACTGTATGTTAAGTGTCAATCATTTTGACGATAGTGGTCCTGAAAGAAATCTCTTTTCTTTTGCTTCCTGCTAGAATTCTCTTGTGCCTGTTCCTCCGTTCATTTCTCTGTGATTTCTGTTGTGTGTATTGATGTCTGCTCAGTTCTACGATTATGGTATCTTTGCTTTATTTATTTTTAAATTAATAAATAATTTATTTTTCTGTTTCTCTGCTCTTACTGTTCTAATCGCCCAGCTGCTTAAATGATATGAATTACTTATTTTGTTTTCCATTTTTGCACACTTGTTACACTTGCACTTCTTTCTTTTTAGAGTTATATCTTACAGAAATACTTTATCAGCCTATTAAGCATATTACTGAAGAAGGTCTCTCCATAAAGTGAAATTCAAGTGCAATCTAAAACAGTAATCACTATTTACATTATTCTCCTCTTATTTCCTGTTTGAGCTCTGTGACATATGTGTGGTCCTTTCCATGAACAACCTCCATGATGGCCAACGCCTGTAACACAAACAGAATTATCACTCACTTCTGACATTTACAGAGTAGTAAATAAAATAAAAAAACATTTTACTTTTGTCTGTAGTCCTGCAACCTGGAAGAGAATTAGCACTTTTAAGCTGTAGATTTAATAATTTGTACTAACATTTTTAAAACCACAAAGATGAGTAAGTTTATATGCTTAATGGACAACCAAAATGTTTCAAAGCGGTGGTCATTTGACAGAAAGAGATTTAATCCGACAATGAACCACTAAACCATGAAACACTGAATGTGTGGCTATAACTAATCTTGAGTCAGTGCTTGAATAAAATTAGGTACATAAAATCATTGCCACTCAATTGATTGACTCTGGTAAAACTACTTTAATAGTTTAAAGTAGATTTAAACTACGTTAAATCTGCTTTAATAGAATTAAATATTTAAAATGTTAATGCTACTTATGTCTTATGCTTTGAGAATGCTTTGAGCATCCAGATGTTACAACATCTACCAGCAGGACCATGCTAACTTGCCAAACTTTGACCTTTTGGTCCTCCCACTAAAACATACTGTAGGAAAAACAGATGAGTCAAACAAAAAATTCATGTGACATCAAAAAAGTAATGTGACTTTGCGCTATGGGACCTGACTAACCAGTGGACCGAACTCATTACACAGCATCTGAAATGTTGTTATGGTCATTCTGAAATGCCCGAGCAAAGTCTGTCATCAAGTATTTCTGTATAATTGCCTCCCAGACCTGACTTACACGACTGTGTTCCCAAACAGCAGGCATCCACCTCCAAAAGCAATGACCGCATTTATTGTGTTTCATCTGCTTGCTCTGAGGCGCATATAATTTATTACATATGAAAATTATTATATTTAGTGGCTTCTCCTACTTTTCTTAGTGATATTTAGTGCCAGTTTATCAGGAAGCATGTGTTCTCTTTGACTTGTTGGATGGAAACTGTGCTTATTTGCAAATGTTTTAAGCGACCAATTTTGCAAATTTGGATGGAAACCTGGATATTGTCAATAGAGATTTATAGTTTCTGTTGTTATATTTCAAAAGCCATAGTATAAATCACTTACTCTCACATTTAGGATCATGTCATTGCAAACCCATATAACACCGTGTTGACACTGGGCACTACCATTGACACGTCAACTTGCACCACAACAATTTAAGGCTGTCTACACTTTCTCCCATGGAACACAAAAAAAAACTTCCACACAATGAAAGAGAATAGGGACTGGGGCTGTCATGCTTCATGATTTTGCTCTCTTTGACTTGTTGGATGGAAACGGTGCTTATTCGCAAATGTTTAAGCGACATTCCAATTTTGCAACTTTGGATGGAAACATGGATATTGTCAAAAGAGATTTATAGTTTCTGTTGTTATATTTCAAAAGCCATAGTATAAATCACTTACTGGGCACTAAATTACACTGGGCACTACCATTGACACATCAACTTGCACCACAACAATTTAAGGCTGTCTACACTTTCTCCCATGGAACACAAAAAAAAACTTCCACACAATGAAAGAGAATAGGGACTGGGGCTGTCATGCTCCAAAAAGTTTAGAACAGGATTTGTGATTTGTGCACTACATTCCAAGTCTTCCACAAGAGAGTCATACAGGTTTGAAATGACATAAGGGCCAGACAGTTTTGGAGGAGTTTGTACCTTTTGAAGTGCACTTATGCCAGTGGACTTCCTGTCCAGAGCCATGTAGAGTCTGCCCATCTTTAGATACATAGATGCAATATTTAAAGAGTATGCTGGGTAAAGGACACTACAGATAAAAACCAGACATTAATATGTTGGTATATGCACAAATATCACACAATTTATGTATTATAATATATACAGGTGCATCTCAATAAATTAGAATGTCGTGGAAAAGTTCATTTCAGTAATTCAACTCAAATTGTGAAACTCGCGTATTAAATAAATTCAATGCACACAGACGGAAGTAGTTTAAGTCTTTGGTTCTTTTAATTGTGATGATTTTGACTCACATTTAACAAAAACCCACCAATTCACTCTCAACAAATTAGAATACTTCATAAGACCAATAAAAAAAAAACATTTTTAGTGAATTGTTAGCCTTCTGGAAAGTATGTTCATTTACTGTACATGTACTCAATACTTGGTAGGGGCTCCTTTTGCTTTAATTACTGCCTCAATTCAGCGTGGCATGGAGGTGATCAGTTTGTAGCACTGCTGAGGTGGTATGGAAGCCCACGTTTCTTTGACAGTGGCCTTCAGCTCATCTGCATTTTTTGGTCTCTTGTTTCTCATTTTCCTCTTGACAATACCCCATAGATTCTCTATGGGGTTCAGGTCTGGTGAGTTTGCTGGCCAGTCAAGCACACCAACACCATGGTCATTTAACCAACTTTTGGTGCTTTTGGCAGTGTGGGCAGGTGCCAAATCCTGCTAGAAAATGAAATCAGCATCTTCAAAAAACTGGTCAGCAGAAGGAAGCATGAAGTGCTCCAAAACTTCTTGGTAAACGGGTGCAGTGACGCTGGTTTTCAAAAAACACAATGGACCAACACCAGCAGATGACATTGCACCCCAAATCATCACAGACTGTGGAAACTTAACACTGGACTTCAAGCAACTTGGGCTATGAGCTTCTCCACCCTTCCTCCAGACTCTAGGACCTTGGTTTCCAAATGAAATACAAAACTTGCTCTCATCTGAAAAGAGGACTTTGGACCACTGGGCAACAGTCCAGTTCTTCTTCTCCTTAGCCCAGGTAAGACGCCTCTGACGTTGTCTGTGGTTCAGGAGTGGCTTAACAAGAGGAATACGACAACTGCACTGTAAAAAGTAATCACTGAATCTACTTAAGAAAGCGAGTAAACATAACTGATTTTTACAAATTTGTTGAGTTTACTTAATTACACTGTGTTATGTGAACTTTCAGGTGGATGCAATAGTAAAATGATTTTGGTTCACATTTAACAAAAACCCACCAATTCACTATCTCAACTAATTAGAATATGGTGACATGCCAATCAGCTAATCAACTCAAAACACCTGCAAAGGTTTCCTGAGCCTTCAAAATGGTCTCTCAGTTTGGTTCACTAGGCTATACAATCATGGGGAAGACTGCTGATCTGACAGTTGTCCAGAAGACAATCATTGACACCCTTCACAAGGAGGGTAAGCCACAAACATTCATTGTCAAAGAAGCTGGCTGTTCACAGAGTGCTGTATCCAAGCATGTTAACAGAAAGTTGAGTGGAAGGAAAAAGTGTGGAAGAAAAAGATGCACAACCAACCGAGAGAACTGCAGCCTTATGAGGATTGTCAAGCAAAATCGATTCAAGAATTTGAGTGAACTTCACAAGGAATGGACTGAGGCTGGGGTCAAGGCATCAAGAGCCACCACACACAGACGTGTCAAGGAATTTGGCTACAGTTGTCGTATTCCTCTTGTTAAGCTACTCCTGAACCACAGACAACGTCAGAGGCGTCTTACCTGGGCTAAGGAGAAGAAGAACTGGACTGTTGCCCAGTGGTCCAAAGTCCTCTTTTCAGATGAGAGCAAGTTTTGTATTTCATTTGGAAACCAAGGTCCTAGAGTCTGGAGGAAGGGTGGAGAAGCTCATAGCCCAAGTTGCTTGAAGTCCAGTGTTAAGTTTCCACAGTCTGTGATGATTTGGGGTGCAATGTCATCTGCTGGTGTTGGTCCATTGTGTTTTTTGAAAACCAACGTCACTGCACCCGTTTACCAAGACATTTTGGAGCACTTCATGCTTCCTTCTGCTGACCAGCTTTTTGAAGATGCTGATTTCATTTTCCAGCAGGATTTGGCACCTGCCCACACTGCCAAAAGCATCAAAAGTTGGTTAAATGACCATGGTGTTGGTGTGCTTGACTGGCCAGCAAACTCACCAGACCTGAACCCCATAGAGAATCTATGGGGTATTGTCAAGTGGAAAATGAGAAACAAGAGACCAAAATATGCAGATGAGCTGAAGGCCACTGTCAAAGAAACCTGGGCTTCCATACCACCTCAGCAGTGCCACAAACTGATCCCCTCCATGCCACGCCGAATTGAGGCCGTAATTAAAGCAAAAGGAGCCCCTACTAAGTATTGAGTACATGTACAGTAAATGAACATACTTTCCAGAAGGCCAACTATTCACTAAAAATGTTTTTTTTATTGGTTTTATTTTATTGGTTTTTGTTAAATGTGAGCCAAAATCATCACAATTAAAAGAACCAAAGACTTAAACTACTTCAGTCTGTGTGCACTGAATTTATTTAATACACGAGTTTCACAATTTGAGTTGAATTACTGAAATAAATGAACTTTTCCACGACATTCTAATTTATTGAGATGCACCTGTACATGAATGCGTGTGTTCTTACGTGTAAGGCTTCATGACTTTTTCTCCATATCTAACTGCTCCATCATAATTCTCCATGAAAAGACAGATGCCCATGGCCTGGTACATCATATGAAGGATGTAGATGTTAGCGTCATCAAACACGGTGCTCATCTTATCAATGCTGAGCTCACACATCTCTAGCAGCTCAGCGGGACGTGAACGAGTCAAGATTCAATAAACGTTTGACTTAAGCTTCAAATTACTTAATGACCTTTGACTAAACAACATCAGTGGTGGGCTAAGGTGTTCTGGGTGGTTGCTAGGGTGTTGCAAAGCTGATCTAAGTGGCTATATTCATTTAATATTTTGGCCTCTAGATATGGCTTTGGACAAATGAAAGCAACACTTCTCTTCAAAAAGCCACATAATTTGAGACACTGATGTTTTAAAAAAGTGACAGGTTTGTTTAAATCACTCCTAAATCACAACCCAGTAGGAAGTAGTAATAGTGATGCTTGACTTAGCAAACATTAAAAAAGAAAAACATTTTTGAACTATACAATGAATAATAATGTTTTGGATACCTCAGTATTGTAACGACAGATTTATGAATGAAGCAATTAAGCAGCACTGCAATTATGCAATCAATTTGGCACACTTCAAGAAGTAAAAAGGGTCAAAAAGGATATCTTTCTCATGTTTGGCCCTGCGGAAGTCTTCCATGGCATTCCGAGCATAACACACCATATCCCTGATCTCCTTTTGACTGATTTCATCACTCAGTTTCCGTACCTTCATCTTCTCCATGTCCTACAAAATGATACAATGAGCAAAATGATATCATCTACATATTATATTATAATAACAGATTATAAAACAAAACAATAAGTAATTTACTACAATCTCTCTCTTGTACATGTGATGAATACACAGTTTTACTTTAAGGTAGATGAGGCATCCTCAGTCAGACTTGAATTAGATCTCTTGAGGTTCTGATTGAATTAGGTTTTTAGTAGTGTTAATTTAGTGTTAATCCTTATAATCCCAAATGTCCTTATAGTGCTGGTATGTAAACTGGTGAAATGACCTTGTAATCCACCAAAACCAACACACACACACTTACACTTCTTCTCCCTCTTCACGTTTCGTTGATTTTCTTCACTGCTAAAGAAACTCTTAAGCCTCTTAAAAGTCCTTGTCAGTACTCCTAACAATTTTTTGGACATTAATAGCTCTTTTAAGGTTTAAGATGCTTTCTGAATTCCTTTCTTCTTTACTAGGATCTTTTCTTTAGTTTTAAGAGAAAACGCCCACATTTCTAAGAATTGTCTTAGAATTTTGTCACTAAATCTTTGCACTAAGAATTTTCATGAATATGGGCTAAAAACTAAAAGTTACATTTGACACAGGACTAAGACTAAGACTAAATTAAAAATAGCTGACAAAATTAACACTAGTTTTTAGGGAATTTTAGTAAAACAGTAATGCTGTTTCACAAATACAAAGCTGAATTTTTCATCAGCCATTAAAGTCATTACATTTCAGTGTCACATGATCCTTCAGAAATCATTCAAATATAATGAATTGGTGCTCAAAAATAGTATTATCATTGTTGAAAACAGTTGAGCTGCTTAATAATTTTGTGAAAACCATCATACATTTCTTTCAGGATTATCTAATAAACAGAAAGTGCAAAAGAACATTGTTTCTTTTAAATAGAATTTTATGTAATCATGTAAAAGTCTACTCTTTACTATCACTTCTGATTAATTTAATGAGTCCTTGCTTTTTAAAATCTTTTTGAACTGTAGTATGTATTTTATATGATATTGTTTTTACTATTGCTATTATTTATGTTATTTATATATTTTTATTTATATATGTCTGTATGCGTTTATTGTGTATCTGGCCGCTGTGCAAATGGGTCAAAGACAAATTTTCCTAAATGCAACCAAGTATATTCCATCCATTCCACACACCATGGATTTGGTTGTGCACTCTTTGCAGTCACAGCTGAAGTAGTAGATGTCTCTGAGCCTCTCGATCCTGTCCTCTGTAAGGTACAGCAGGTCTATGTAGCTGGTATATATCTGCACACACACAGAGCAAGTACAGAGAAAGCTGTCAGTAACTAAAAGACAACAATAAGCATAACAGCAAAGTATGAGGCATTCATGTTCAAGACAGGTTCATGACAGCTTCCGTTTTACCTGCTATTGACTTTGGGCATGCTGGGTAATCCAAAAGCATGGTCACTCATGAATCATTTGACCACATTACACTGTAAAAAACCCAACTTGAAAAAGTTTAAATTACTGGTTTTGCCATGTTGGCTCAGAGAAAATCCATGAAAAGTCAGTACAACTAAGTTTAATACACTTCAATCTAAACAGTTTTTTTTTCTTTTTTCATAAAGTAAAAAAGATGAGCTTTGTGAACAACGCTTCACGCAAGCAAGTTCATCCAAAAAGAAGAAGAAGAAGAAGAAGAAAAAAAAGTCTGCCAACTTAATTTGAGCTAAGACAATCTCATTTAGGAACTGCCCTCCAACATAAAAACATGCTAATAAAATGTGAACAATGTAACATTTGCTTACTTTTGGGCAATGAAGAAAAATGGTTGTTTCGTGATTAATCACATCGAAAATAAATGTTTGTGTTTACATAATATATGTGCGTGTACTGTGTACATTTATATGTACATGTATATATAAATACACACACATACATGTATATATTTAAGAAAAATACACAACATTCTAATTTATTGAGATGCACCTGTATATTATGTAAACACAAACTTTTATTTTGGATGCAATTCATGTTTAATCAATTTGACAGCACTAAATAATAATAATGATGATGATGATGATGATGATGATTATTAAGATGATTATTGGTAGTAGTAGTAGTAGTAGAATCTTGCGCACAGCATTATGAACATTAAAACCTACAAATCTGCAGGAAAACTTTTACTGTTAAGTTAAGTTTTATTGTGAATTTAGTTTCATTCACAACAGGAGGCAGCATCTATAGACAAAAAAAAAATGGTGAGTGAGAGATGAAATGGGAATTATCCTGGACCATTTTGATGAACTGGTATGATTTACCTATATACTTATAAATCCCTTGGAATTAACAATTATATTTATTAAGTTAGTTAGTTCCAAAAAAGGGACAGTGTACATTAATCAACATTCATAAGTGTACCCAAATTAGCTCAACGGCTAGTTTACATTGGTAGTCCCTTTGCAAGATGTTATTTAGGCCAATACACTTTAGTGAAATCATTTTTTCCCCCTACATTACATTTTTTAAAGCTTTTTGTAGCAAGTTTTATGGATTTTTGCCCTGAGCACCCCTCCATTTCTGAAACTTTGCCCATGCCTAATAAATTTTCAGTGACACTCAATTATGATCTGTAAGGAATCATACAGAAGTAAATTACTATTAAAATGATTTTCTCCCTCCTTCAGACAACAGACATCGCATCACAGACACAACATGGCTCTTCAGCCAATTCATAAAAGAACAATGGATATTTAAAAGCACACGTCCAGTTTTGTGTGAGTGAAGGAAATCTGCTTGCGAGTGGAGATTCATGCTCGCGCATTAGGCCTACATGGATCACGTCACATTATGTGCTCTCGACATTGTCATTAAGATCGCGCTATAGAAACCGTCTAAAATTAATAAAAGTATAGTATAAAAAGGAGAAGAAAGCGGGCCTAGGCAGCTGCCTACACATGCCAGGATCCGCCACTGCCAGATGCAGTTTGAAATTTACTAAAAACAAGCCTATCGCAAGATATCTGGTGGGGGGGGGG